TATTCGATTGAGTGTATCCACTTAAAAGGATGTAAATAAATTAAAAATTCTATTAGATACAAGTTACTAGTATATCAAATAAAAAACATAACTATAATTAAAAATTTATTTTTAAAATTAATAATTATTCTAGGAGACGTTAGTAGGAAAATTGTTGTACATTTTGCTCTAAAAAACACCATTTCAGTTTACTTGTATGTTGTATGTCTAATAACCACAAAAAATTTCTTATGCAAAACGAAATTGAAGACGATGTGGGAAATACAAGCGTCATAATCGATGAAACAAAGAAAGAATACATGGAGAACTTTTGCTACTTAGGGTATATCAAAGATGCCAAAAGAAGAATCTGTAGCCCAAATGAAAACTTTGATTATTTAGAATTTAGACCAAAAGACGCAGAAGGATATTAAATGAACAGAAATATTAATAAAATTGCCTAGTCATACAATATAACAAACCACAAATTTGGAAGGAAGGGGAATGGATTGGGCGTAAGATAAGGATAACTACCAGAAACCTAACCAGGCCGGGCCCTGTGCGCTTCAGTGTGACAAGCACAAGAAGTTTGACACACTGAGTAACACCTGGAAAAGATCTATTCAAATAGAAGTAGATAGACCACCTTGTATTATCCGAGCTTTAAAAACGCATTCTAGGGTGTTTTTTGTTGCAATAATGAACCCAGGTAGATCTGGTGTGGCTCATGTCTAACTTATTGTTCACCGTACAAACCACAGCTTTTGTTGAAGGTCACGATTGAATTGGGTAAAATACCTTTAGCGTGACTGGATCACTTTGAACCTATACCATCCATTTATCTAGTAGGATGACGTAGGTCCTGAAGAAATATACGAAGTGATTGACAATGACCGAAAAAGTGACGAAGTGGGCAAATGTAGAAAGAAATGTCATAGAGGGTTGACACAGGGGTCCAGGTAAGCAGGTACCAGAAGTACAGATGTGTACAGGTGTCACAAATGTCACCTATTACAGGTGAGCCCGAAGAGTACGATTGAGCCTTGCCTAACCTAGCTCGTATTATAGGAAAGAAAAGACACAAAGTTCACACAGATAAGATGTATATGAATAACAATATACTTTTTTTGATAACTTTATTATTTATAATGAATTCCAACAGACCCACGCCAGACCTTTAAGATGTAACTACTGTTATTTTGGACATATATTTTTACGAAGATTGTACAGTGCACAAGCCTTGCGTTGTACAAGGTGTAGAAGGGAGCAAAGTGTTTTTTAGGGACATTTTTTATTCCGATAATACGAACTAGACCAGGCGGGACTCGATCATACTACGTATAGGTGACATTTGTGATACTTGTGCACTTTTGGTATCTGAATACCTGGACACCTGTGTCAACCCTCTACATTTCTTTTTACCTTTGGCCACCTTACTACTCAGCCATACTACTATAGGAACAAGAAGATGAACAGTGACAGTCTAGTCCAATATTGAATTATTTATTATAGATGTACGAACTGGACTGAAATGATCCTTATTTATATTCATTTGACGGGTTTTCTCTTCAACCTCATATACTTTGTACATGCAGCCTCAAGAAAAGTATCGATATACTAAAACAGTACTAAAAAAAAATCGTAGGAACTTTCAGCTTTGTTACAGTTAATTATTTAATACATCATGCCCTGCAGTGACTTTAGTTGTTTAAAATTTATTTTATGAAGCTTTCGTGCGACCATTGCATTTGAAATTAGAGTGGCTATTTCGAATGCAAGACGCAAATGTATCGTAAAACAAATCCACATTAAAAATACTGCTGCTCGCAAGTCTTTGTTGCATTTCATTTTGAAAAGAAAGTTACTGCTTATGATATTCCGTTCTTTATGGAAAAAAAATATGTTTTGGAATAATTTATCGTGGTTCGTGAGTAATAATTTTTTCGCATTTCATCGTAACGAATTGGGAGCAAAAGAATCAACGTTTGGAGGGTTGCTGGAAGCGACGTAATTTTTATTCGTGTTTGTCTTTATTGTTGAAGTTTTAATTACCAGGAACTCGGAGCTGCCATGACACAGCAGGTGTATACAAATATTTATAGAAACATTTCCAATGTTCATTTCAAATTGGAATTTATTGGTGTTTGTACTATAATTAATGTCCAATCATATTAGGAAGAAATTCAAAATGGAATGATTTCGCTGATATTTTAGCATATTAGAATTTTTCGAGTTACAGAACTGTAAATGAGTCAGTGTAGGTGCCTACTCAGGTGCCTCCAAAAAATAAACTATTTTTAATGTTTTATATATTTTTAGGGCCATATTTAGGGGAAGGCAAAAGGGGCTGAAGCTCAGGAGCCTGCACCATACAAATTTTTAGGTAAAATTTGCTAACGAACAGTGTTTAGAGTTCTGACAAAGAAAAAAGTTTTTACACGTTCTTGAGGCATTTTATAAACATTTCAAAGCATATTTCTGTCAAAATTAATAGGAAACGCGAAACAATAAATTCTTTATTTCATGTGGCATGTGCAATGAGTGGCTAAAAATCTGACTTTCTAACGTTTTAGAAAAAACGATGAATTTACTAACCAAGGTGAAGCCGAGGTTGCAAATATTCGCGATCTTTAAAAATAATTTTTGACACGTAAACCACTACTTTTTCTACGAATTTCATTATGTCATGTACTGAAAACTGTAAACAAATGCCAAAAAACAATTAGTTCAATATTTTGTTAGTCAATTGGTATTGGCACTGACAGTTCTAAATAATGAACCTTAAAACTTCAAACGAACAGTTGACAGCAGACAACTAGATGTGGGTTGTTTTAAATTTTACACCATTTTTTTATAATTTTATTTTGTTTCTAATTCATTTAGATTTTAATGACCTTTTAATATTATTAATAATTACAAGCTGCCGAAATATTATAGGTACGAGGAGGATGATATGTAACAACTTACTTTCATCACCAGAGACGAAAGTTATAGGTTATCTCTTACGAGTGATGGAAATCAAATATAAAAAAGATGTCTTTTCGCAAGGAGTTTTAGAAATAATTGTTTATCTTTTTGAAAAAATATGTTGGGTTCATCCACTTCTTCGGCGCCCCAGGGCGTCCGAACCTTTAAATACGACGCTGCCTGTTTTTTTATTTAATACTAATTTATTTTATAATAATAATATAATAATAAATAATATAATAATATAATGTTCATTAAATGATAATACGAACGATGAATCCAAATGCAAAAATATTCATAATGTCATGGTTTTCCATTTAAAACTTTTGTTTCTTTTATATGTTCTCAAAATTATCGAGGTATTATTTATTTTGTTTAACATAAAAATATCGGTTTACATTTAAGAAAAGCGATTTTCAGTTATTTCCTGAAAAACCGGAAAATAAGCGATGTTGTCACATAGGTAATATTTGAGCAGTTTATAAAAAACTACTTTCTCCTAACTTTCAATAAAAAAAAGAAAATAATGTATCGATATCTTTACTTAAGAGTGGTGGAACTTTTTTATATTGTACCTAAAACTACGTTAAAATTACTTTTTTCTACACCCACAGACTACAGAACGAAAAAGTATGCTATTGCGTTCAACTGAACGAATATATTTCATATCCATACTAGGTAGTGAGAACACTGCAAAAAAAATATACTATCACAGTTCATATTTTGATCAACCGACTACCATTATTTTTTAAATTTTAAATAAGAAACAATTCTGTCAAACTAATTGTCAGTATATTTTTTAGTTACTGACATTAAATTACATTAAATTGAGTTATTCTTGTGTAGAATCGATAAATAATAGCATTTCTATTTTCATTTCGTCTATAATTATAAATAATTTGTTAACTTTAATAAAACTATTTGAAGTCAATTTAATTACAAGTATTAAAGCAAAAATGTCAAGCTCGTCGATGGTGGTGAAATCATAGCACTTGTCTTCTATGCGAAAGGTCCGGGTTCAAATCTATGATGAAGAAAAATTAAATTAAACCTTTTTTTATTTTATAAAATAGTAAGAATCACAAATTATTTTTAAATTAGTTATTTTATTTTAATAACCTAAAATAATTTTTAAAATTTGTAGATTTTCGTTAGTGGGTCGTAGAAAAAATATACTGAACAACTTGAGTGGATTCTCCATATCCACTCTTGTTGCACAAACTACTATTTACAAACTTTCAATAAAAAAATGCCATTTTGAGCTTTTTCTTAAAAAAATGTCTCTCCAAACTTTTAATAAAAAATATTTCGATATCTTTATTATTAATGGACATAAGGGAGGTGGACCTTTTTCGTAAATAAAAAATTGCTTTCTTCAAACTTTCAATAAAAAAAATATTTCCATATTTAGTATTAAAGAACCAAAGGGTGGAGGAACTTTTTGTGAGACACCCAGTATATTGTCCACATTAAAAATTACTTACTCCAAAGTTTCATTTAAAAAAATCAATTCGATCATTATTAACGTAGTTTTTTCGATATCTTTAGTCTTAACGAACCTAAAGGTGGTGGAACTTTTTGTGATACACCCAGTACATTGCACATAAAACTACCTTAAAAATTACTTTTCCAAACTTTCAATAAAAAAAAATCATTTCGATATCATTATTAACAAACTTAAGGGCGGTGAAGAATATTCGAGAGACACCCCTGTATATTGTACCCAAAACAACGTAAACTTTTTTCTCTCTCTTAAAAAAAATACATATCGACATTTTTATTATTAACGAACTTAAGGCTGGTGGAAGTATTTACAATATTTACATTATACTTGAAACTACGTAAAAAAATACTTTACAAATTTTCAATAAAAAGAAAAAATATATTTCGATATCTTTATCGTTAACGAATGTTAATTTTTTCGTGAAACAACGCCCTGTATATTTTACCCAAAATTACTTACTTTCTCCGCACTTTCAATAAAATAAATTAGGTATTAATGGAAATTTTTCGTATTATTACATCAAATAAAGTTTATTTTTGAAATGAATTACCTTAAATTGTATTTAACGGCCACCGCTAAAATATCGCTAAGGACACTTTCGCCGCTTTCGCAGCCCGGCCTGACCGTGAAATCCAGAACGGTTATCATCGTGGGATCCGGCATATCCTTGTGGTGCTCCTTCAAAACTGCTTGCAGCCATTCTTCGGTCACGGGCCAGTCAGCTCCACTCATTGAATCCTCTTCACTTTCTGACATTACCTAAATCTACGCCAAAAGCCAAATAACATATTTTTATTTAAATGAAAACATATTTGTATAGGAAAAATGACATACAAAAAGTATTGATATTACTGATGCTTACTGGAAAAGAATATGACTTTGAACAGGTTAATAAATGTATAGTTAAAAGTAATTGTAAGAAAAAAAAATGGGAAAGTGGGAAATGAAAATTTTAGAGTATGAAGAAAAGGGCATTAAAGATAAAGTCTGGAAGAACTGCATGACGATCTAAATATATGTAAATTTTTTTATTGATATGTATGCCTTTCGTCTGCAATTTTTTTCCATTTTTTCTACTCTTTAATCTCATCTTTGTATCAAGTATTCCTATCTTTTATTTTGTTTATCCCTTGGTTCTCCAATCTTATTTTAGGTAGACGGCTTATTCTAGTGCCTTGTGGATTCCATTTCGTTCTTATTGTTTATAATTGACTGTTTTCTTTATATTTATGTAATCGTACCATCTTGCTTTTTGATTTTATTATATTGTTTATTTCTAAAATTATGATATCTATATTCATCGACCTATATTATTCACTAATTTTCTTGATCATATTATTCCTTCATATTTTCCTTTCAATTTTTTTTTTAATTTTGTGTTCTCCAAGTATTTCTAAAATTATGATATCTATATTCATTGGCCTATATTCATTGACTTTCTATATTCTTCACTAATTTTGTTGGTCCTATTATTCCTTCTTATTTTTCTTTCAAATTATTTTAATTTTGTGTTCTCCCAAGTTTGTTCATTTTATATACTCTGCCTTTTACTTTTCATTACATCTTTGAATTTGGGCATTGCATTTATTTATTCTGCCTGAATTCTTTTAAGTACTTTGCTTACCTATTTTTACTCCTGCTCTTTTATGTTTCCTTCTATGATTTTTAATTCTCATTTGTCATCTTATCTTGTTTATTTTTTATTATTAAATTAAAGAGGATATCTTACATACGTTAAAGGACAAAGGACTAAGTGGAAAGGATTTAAAAAAAAACGAGCGTTAAAAATTGTTCTAGATTGTGTTTCAAAGTTTGCACCATATGAAAAACTATTTATTTAGGTATTACCTACTTTTTTTTTAGAATATAGCGTCTTATATAAGGTGAATCGAAAAGGAATACAAATATTTTAGGAGGTGATAGAACAATAAAAATTAGGCTCAGTTTGCTATATAAACTAATGTCCGAAACTTTGAAATGAGGGAGATAAAGCAATTCAAAGGGGGAATGGAAATTCCAGTTTTTCGGTTCCAACCGGAGCAAACTATCTACTCCAAATTTTTTGGAGAACTTAAAACTTTTATATAATTTGATTTAATGGAAAAACAAAAGAAACAATAATTTTAGAGGGTTAGTTTGAGGAGGTGGGTTGGGTATTCTTATCCCTACTTTTTAAATTTTATCTTTTCAGAAAAATTGTTTAAGGAAAACAAATTTCCATAGTTTTTCCTACAAAAAGGTACCGTTTTTGAATAATTTGACTTTTAAAATGTAACTACACAATAGATGTTATTAATAATATCTTTAATTACATTAAAAATTTACCATGTATTGTTTCAATAAAAACTATTAAAGAAGCTATGGAATTTCACAATTTTGTGACAATAGGATGTAGTATTAGTGCTAGTATTATTTTTGTTGAAGCATGTACACATTTTACGAGTATACCGACATTCTACTTACGTTGGGTAAATGTCTGAGAAATGCTAATGCTGCAATCAGAAGATATGCAGAAAAATTTCCTTTTTCGAAATGTACCAAATTTGAGGACATTTCTTAACGTTGAAAGGCGACTTAAGGAAACAGGAAAACTGCAGGTAAAAATAAACAGGTCTACCACGAACTGCCAGAACAAATTCGAAATATTTTTGGGCAAAATATCACGGTCAGCACGAGACAAATAGTCTTAAGGTCAGGTAATTCGCAATCTACAGTAACTAGAGTATTGCGTGAACAGTCTCTGCATGGTTTTCACTTTCGAAAAGTTCAAGAAATATTTCCTGATCATGTACCAACCAGAATGGAAATTTAAGAACACACATTATTTAATATTTAAATTATATGGCAACCGGTTTCGGCACTAAGGCCATTTTCAGGCCTGTAAAAACATAATAATTGTTATACAACTCTGATGTGAACATCAGGAGGAGTTCCTTAAAATTAACGTATGTTCAATTCATGAACCATCTACCACTTGATATCCAGTCTTTTCTTTAAAAACGTTGAAAGCTATAGATCGTTTGTCCTTCGTCAGTTCTTGGCACGAGCTGTGTCCTTTCTTGGAGTTTTATTCATATTTTCCATATTAGTTGTGTTTTTTTCGATGGTTTATGAATTGAACATACGTTAGTTTAAGTTTCTCCTTTTGTATAACAATTTTTATCAGTCTTAGTGTCAGATATGGTTGCCTTATAATTTAAATATTAAATAGTTTGTGTAGGATTGATTTTGAAGTCAATGTTTGGGCAACGACAATGAGTAATAGATTCCTTGGAATTTTTTATTTTACCGAGCTATTTGAACGATGATATGTATTTAGATTTTTTGGAAAATTTTAGATGTACCTCTGCAAATGCGGAATGAAATGATATGCATGACGGGGGGCTCCGCCCCATTTTACAAGGGTTGCCAGAATGTGGTTACATCAAAATTTTCCTGCCACATGGATAGGCAGGGGTGCATTCACTGGCCTTTTCGGTCGCCAGATTTAAATTTACTGGACTTTACTGTGTGGAGATATTTAAAGTCTAGGATCTACAATTCAGAAATTAATTATTTTGTAGAATTAAGAAGGCTGGTAGAAAATGAGTGCAGGCGTTAATGAACAATGACCACATTTTAAAGAGACATATATTTTCTCTGAGACGGTGACTAAACCTATGTATTGAACAAAATGGAGGACATTTTGAACATTTGTTGTAGTTTTATATCATAGTTTAATTATTAAGTTTTTATTTATACGATTTGTTTATGATCAAACTTGAGATTTTGTACTGACGTTAACAAATTATCTAGTCTGCAAATACATTTTAAAAGTCAAATTATTCAAAAACGGTTCACTCTATCGCGTTTAAACAAGAGTACCTTTTTTGTAGGAAAAACTATGGAAATTTGTTTTTCTTAATTAATTTTTCTGATAATATAATATTAATAGGGGTAAGAATACTCAACCCCACCCCCTTTAAACATTATTTTTGCTTTTGTTTTACCATTAAATCAAATAATATAAAACTTTTAAGTTCTCCAAAAAAATTTTAGTTTGCTCCAGTTGAATGTTAGGATCGAAACACTGGTTTGTCCATTTCCCCTTTGAACGGCTTTATCTCCCCTATTTCAAAGTTTCTCCTAAAATATTTGAATTCCTTTTTGACTCGCCTTGTATACTGTACACGTACACTTTATAAAAAAATCCTATAAACTTATTATTTTTGATTTCCTATTATAAGCTGTTGTGAAAAGCACACACTTTAAGTTTGTAAAAAGTTTTGTAAGAAAAAATTTGGTTTTGCAGTCAATTGTAGGGGCGGACCAGGTACCGACCAGATTAAAAACCTGATAATTTCTTTATGTTTAGAAATAAAAAATAATTATACATGCAGAAGGTTTTCATCTGACATTGAAGTAATGAAATGCCGTTGTCAAATACTATCTTAGCAGGCATTTTCTTGCTACTACTTTTAAAAATAACATAGCGAGCGTTTGTAAATTAAAAATATGTTTTCAGTTGATAATTTTCATGTCTAGAAGCGATTACCTGTAATTTTTTCATTGCATGCATATTCACGCATTTGTTTTTTATGCCTCCCTCGGCACCAACGGTAATACGATTCAGTCATTCAACATTACCTTTTTAAAAACAATTTTATGATGACAATAGAGATTAAAAAGGGGTATATTTTAATTGCTAGGTACAGAAAAATTATTAATTACTACGCAAGCAAGAAAAAAAAGTAATTTTTGTTAATTTGTTTCGGGTTAACAAACTTTCCTGTTTTATCTTGTTTTCAAAACCATGTAAACAAAGTTTTTCTCAGATTCCATTCGAATATGTACCGTAGTAAATTTGAGTTAACTAGTTTTTATTTTATTTAACTTTATTTTAGTTAAAACTTTGTAGACCGAGCGAATACTTTTAATTTAGAGGAAAACTAGCGTGTAAAATACTCGAGTCTGTCAAGTCCTAAACGAACTCGACTGCATTTTGTGAAACGTGTCAGGCAAATAAACATAAAAACCTTATAAAGCTGCCACCGGTCTTGCCGCAGAGAAATCATTATTTTAAGTTAATATCATTTAGGTTTAGGTCCGTATTTATAAACAGAACTCAGCTGAGTCGGACTTGGATATTTTTATAAATACGGGTCTTTTACTTAGTTTTGAAATTTCCAATGGAAATGTGCAGATAAAAAATAGGAGGAAGATATTAATTTGTTAGAAACATACTTCTATAAATATCGGTTCGGAAAAGAGAAAATAATAAACAAGGAAATAAAAGTAGAAAACGGTCAAATAAAAGCTCTGGGGCTAGATTGGTTGGTACATATATTGATTAGTGAAATAATAAAAAAATAACCCGATAATTAAATGAAACGCAGATAAGGAAAATATGGTGGGATTAAATAGAAGAGGATACAAAAGCATGAAAATATGATACATTGGAAAATAGGAGGACGCCAGTGACAAATAACCTCATTAAATAGTTAAAACATCCTCATGAGCTAAGCCAAAATCCTATGGGATTAAATCACATTAATGATGATGATGATAATAATGAAAGATGAAAAAGTAAATGCCCTGATTTACAATAGGTACAGTTTATAATAATAAATCATTATTGCACAATAGTTATTTATGTACCAAGTCAGCAAAGTTATTCTTTATCAAACTAGTCTCAAATTATGAGCCAAGCGAGGTGAGTAACAGGCGAGTTCGATAAAAACACTTTGCTGACCTGGTCTATACAAACTTTTATCACCAACCGTAAA